CCAGCTCCAGCCGCCTCTGCATCTTCCGCGGGCGGGGACCACCCAACCCCGCCCCCCACAGTTGGGAGGTGCCAACGGTCGCCGCGTGCCGGGGGGCGGGGCCAACCACCCGCCCTGCTCCCTCAGGCACCGCCTCTGCACGGGGAGTGAGGCCCGCGACGCCTGCTGGGCGTTGTAGTCCCGTGGGTCCGTCTCCGGGTGTCCCCCCCGCACAAAGCAATGCCTGCCGGGAGCTGTAGTCCCGCGGGTCCGTCTCCAGGTGCCTCCCCGCGCGCGGTGCCTGCTGGGAATTGTAGTGCCGTGGGTCCGCCCCTTTGTTGAGGTGCGTGGAGACTGCAAGTCCCAGCAGGCTGCTGGGGGGGAGGGAAAGGGAGTTTGGCCCCGCCCCCTGTTCTAGGATCCGCCCAAGAGCCTGATGACCGCCTGGACTCTGCTTTGGGTAGGGGTCACTTTCACCCTAGGGCCCTGTGACAGGGCTGGAGGGAGGCAGAGCAGATGCCGTTCACTGCGCCTCCTGTCCTTGTCCCCCTGCCTTGTATCCCAGCTGGGACCAAGCCCTGCCACTTGCTCCCTGCCACGGTGCCCTGAGGTGGTCCTGTGGCCCTCTGTGGCTTATCAAGAGCAGTAATCATTCCCATCCTGGCTACCCAAGCTGATCCCCAAAGCCAAGTTTTGAGTCTGGCATTAATAGCGTGTTCAGTGCCCCTCGTCCTCTAGCTGCATAAAGGAGGATGGCAGTGGCATACAAAGCATTTCTCTTGCAGAGCTGAGGGTATCTGCCATTGGCACGGAGCAGAAGCTGCAACAATAGCCCCCCTTCTCCTCCTCCGTGCCTTAGGGCCTTGTTACACAGTAATTTTGGGTGGCTCCTGGACCTCTTAATCCCTGGGTTGTCTTCATATTAGCATTCATTATGAGGCTCAAAGTTATACCACTCCAGGGCAGGATTCTCTCCTGATCTGTGCTACCCAGGTCCTGTCCCATTAAGGTGTGGCAACTCCCCACAGATGTGCTGCTCAAATTGAAGGTGTAGCTGCTCCTAATTCTAAGGTAGCACTAAGCTGACCAACATTTGTGCGACTTGCAGCGTAAGGTGTAACAAGGCCCTTAGTTGTCAACACTGTACTTCTTACCTCAGCACTCAGAAAGAAGCAGTATTATTACTATTCAAAGTATCAAGTGCTTCTCATGCTTTCTGCATGAGCACAGCATGAGTGCATGCGAGCATGCACCTGGAGACACCATTTCTTGTGGCACCTTGACAGGCCTTTTTATTTGCCAGCAGGCACATTGCTGGAGATCTCTCTTGACTGGCTTGACAATATGAATGATTGTGTTGTGTGTAACACAAAATAGCCTCTTGTGAGATGACAGGAATACCTCGGGCATGTGAGCAACGTTTCCTTGTCCACCCTACCTCTGCAAGTGGGGCTTGGAAATAGCCACACATGCACAAACATCTTGCCAAACAGTCTCTTAAACTGCTGCCTTGTTCTGCAAAATCTGCTCATTTTCATTTTTTTTTTAAGCATCTGGTTGCAAAGCAAACCTCAAGAACATGGACCAAGAGAAGTAACTACGTGCACAGAGCCTGGAAAAATGACTGAGAAAGATGAATTTGTCTTAATGAATTGTTAACTCAGACACCTAAGGATGGTTATTTTAAGTGCCACTGTTCTCATCTATTTTATTGAGAAGAGAAGAGAAGAGAAGAGAAGAATGATCACAGGTCACTTGGTTTACTGTGTGTGATTTCTCATTTTCTTATCACAACTGCTAGGTAATATGTGTGCGATATACAGAAGCATGCAACAAGCACCTTAAAAACTACCGTGTGCCAGGAAAAGAAGAAGTGAGAAAAAAAGCACTGTCTGCCACGGACTCCAGCGGTGGTAGGGAATTTGTTAGGTCAAATATCCTAGATAATCCTTGGAAGTGGACTTATGCCCCATGCTACAGAGGAAGGCCATAAATACATAACAATTGTCCTTTACAATCTCATCTGTGGAGAAATTCCTTTTTGACCCCAAATATAGCAATTGATAGCACAGCTTATTTCTTAAACACGCAAACCCAAGTTACTTAGCAGAGCCTGTGGGCAAATTCCAGCCTCATTTAGTGGGAGCCAAGCTCCCACTACAGGGCTTGGTGGAGCTCAGAAAGCAAACATAATTATATTCTAAACATTTGTCCAATTTAATATGAATGGTATTTAATGTTGAGAACTCAGTATATTTTCTGGGACGAGGCTGGAAGAGCACCATTCCCTTTTTCCACTCTGATTCATCTGCAAGTTGCACTTTACACTACTGTTGGGATCCTTTTTCAAACATCATTGTAGAACTTAGCTACATTCCCCTTAAAAGCTTACCTTTAACATCTGGAAATTCTCCTAAAAAATGATTTTGTACAGTTCACCTTCCATACAATTTAACCTAGTTCTTGGAGGCATTAGTCAAAGTTTTTTCACATTGTGAATGAAAATGGTGCAAAGCATTACAAAGATTAAATCATAGATATTAGCAATAACATTGAACATTGGAAGTTAATGTACCACAATACTTTTTTCCTTTAAATTCTGTTCCTGCTTTTGATTTAGATGTCATGTGACAGCTGAACTTGTTGCACAGAAACATGTGGTTAGCGTACAGAAAACAATATCTTATCATTTTAGTGTGGGAGAAAAGCTAATGGAAGGTGTGTATCACTGAAAGCTGCTATCTATTACTCCATCTGCAGTGCAAAGGTGTCATAAGGGCAGGCCTTGAAACAATGTGGACGTCTGTGGGACAGGTAACAAGTCACCTTACATATAAATCCGTGACCATGCCCTCAACGTATTGAAATTTCCTGATTCCTGTTTTACATATATCAAAGTATTTAAATGGATGGCACGTTGTGACCCTCCCTGGACACAAGGTGCTGTGTGTGTTCCCAACATCCTATGCTGTAAAAGATAAACAGGTGCCTTTTCACTTCCAGCTGGCAGTGGCATAATTAGAATGGGGCAAATAGGCCAGCTGCCCCAGGTGCTGATTTGGCAGGGAAGGGCAGAAAAAAATGGCACCTGTTACAGCTGCACAATCATGCCAGCGGTGGCAGCAATCAAAATTTGCTACTGCCCTGTGTGTGTCAGCTGCCCCAGGCACCCACCTGTGTTGTTACCAGCATCCCAAGAATGAAGCTGTATGCACTAATTTTTTGTTGAGTTTGTTGAATTGAATTTGTTGACTTCATCAGTGGGTGTGGGGAAAGGAAGGAAGTAGGATCTTTACCTACATGCCCTAGACACATTCTCCAAGTTTTCCAAACTAAATATTGAAAAACTTGTGTGATTGATACCAGCTCCTTCATGGTAGACTTTGTCCATAAGGAACAGATGGAGTGAATACCACAGAAAGTCATACTTTTGTTTCTATAAACAACATCAGCAGCATTCATATAATGCTAACTGGTTTATAAAATGTGGGGTTTTCCTGACCAATTTTTTTTTCCTTTTTTGCCTACTGTTGTTCAAAAATAACTTCCTCCACTCACTCTGCCAGCAGCACTTCAACTGTTTGGCCTCCACTGATCTCTCTTCAGTACTGTATTGGTACCAGTTAGAACTGGGTGATATTTTTCAGGCAAACAGTTTATTCACTGAATAATGCAGTTCTGGGTAAGCCAAAACTAGTGAGGAATTTGTGCTAAATTTGGCACACAGTTTTTCATACATTGCAAATACATAGAAACTGTTTATTTAAACTTTTTAACATAAACATTTATTTTTTATTTAGAAAAAGTTTCAAAATGTGCCTATTTATTATTAAAAAATGAATAAAAAGATCCCTGAAAAAATAAATAAAATGCTTCTAGATGAACAACATAGTTCAGTCATGCCAAAATTATTTTTCAATTTTTGTTTTGCCAAGAAAAACTAAGAAAACAGTTATTCACACAAATATGGTAACAGTAGCAGGAA